AGCCAGAGTGATTTCAATTGCCGGGGAGCAAAACTTCAAGGGATTGAGAAAATGCTCTGCAAAAAGACAGTTTTGCCCCTTATTTTATACATTACAATCAAAAGAGGAGGTGTAAGCCTAGCCAGCATGGCTCAGTGATTGAGCGTCGACCTGTAAACCAGGAGGTCATGGTTTGATTCCTGGTTGGAGCACATGCCGGGATTGTGGGCTTGATCCCTGTTGGGGGTATGCAGGAGGCAGCCAATCAATGATTCTCTCTCATTGATGTTATTATATCTCCTTCTCTGAAATCAATAAAAATTTATTTAAATCGATATTTTTATGACACACACACTTCTTTTACATAGGTGGGTATAGGATAGTTCACAGTCAACAATTAACACAGTAACAATGAGAGGGATTTGTGGTCTTTGCTCTGGTGTGTGGTTGTATTTTGAATGGTCCTGAGGGGTCCAGAAAAAAGAAAATTACTTTGTTATTCCAAAGGCATTTTATCAAGTATGTCATCCTAGATGCAAAAAGACAGATAGGCTCAGTTAAAGATTGACCTTTGTTAGGGCAAAGTACTACCCTAGGACATGAATACCTGCCATGAACTGCTTTCAGTTAGTAAGTTTTAATTTCAGACCATCCTATGTGGTTACTTTCTGTCTCTGAGTTTGTAAGGCTGCCATGCAGGCCTCCCCTGAACTTGTCAGGTTTAATATTTGGCCCTTATCATCCACATTTTTTTTTCTTTCCTTTGTGGCATGTAGCTCTTTGATCTTATTTGGATTTGTTTTACAGTGTGATTACTTTCCAAATAGCTAACCATTGTACCAGCACATTTTATTGGATAAGACTTTCCTTTCTATATAGTGATGTCTTATTCTATATTTTTATAGTCATTTTATAGATTTTTTTTTAGGTTATGTTTACCCCAAGAAGGAATATTCCTGCCCAAAAGGACTCCTTGAGGTTAACTGGGTCCAAAATCATAATCAGAGTCTCTTAGCCCTTGCTCAGGTACTGCATTTCTAAGAAAAGCCACACACTGAGCTGCCACTTGCTGCATTATGCTCCAGCTGAGCCCACCTTTATTACGGAGTTCCTAGTAGCGTATTTTGACCAATGGGCTGAGACCTGCCCTGTCCAATAGAAATACAGAGCTATGTGTTCATTTGCATCTTTACTGACCAATCAGAGCAGTTCCATAACAACTAACCAAAATGTGTAATTTTTATCAATCAGGACAATGATATTTGCATTCCTCATTTGCATAGAAATTGACCAATCAGGAACTCGGGTGGGAATTTTCTCTATAAAAGCACACTTTCAGTTTTCCCTGGAGGCTGCCCTTACCCCAGGTTGCAAACTGTTCTCTTGAGTAAAGTTTCTCCCTTTACTGCTCCCCAAATTGGGAACTGCTGTTGGCATTGGATTGGGAGAAGGAAACTTTTGCTGACAGTTACATATTCTGTTACATTGACATTTCTCCCCCTCATACCTGTATCTCGTATGTTTAAATAGCTTCTCAATTTCAACAATTTCTGGGTTTCTTTCCCCTATTCATTCTTCATGACTCTGAGAACCATTTTGTGAAAGTGAAAAAAAAAAACCACCCATTGAGATTGTTAATTCAAATTTCATTAAAATATTTGAGAAAACAACATGGTCTTTCTACATAGCCTGAGAGCTCATCTCTCTTTTATCGCTTTTGGGAGAATTTTATAGTTTCTCATATTTAATTGTTTAGCCACCCCTACAAGTATGCGACTGGTGCCCAGAGAAGTAGAAATAATAAGAATAAAGGTACATATATGTACGTTATATAATACTATCATTTTTAGTGAAAGAAGCTGCTCTTTAAGAAGTGCTATGGCCATGGTGTCTATCGGGGTCAGCTTTTAAATGAATTAAATGAGAGAAACAGTTTACATAGTATTTACAGTTGTATGTATAAGTTTTGTGTATATTTGCACAAGCATGAAGCATGGGTTGAGTGTTTTACAATCTTGATTATTATGACAGGGTGGGAATGGAAGGGTTGGAAAGCAGATTATTAACAAAAACCACACACACACACACACACACACACACACACACACACGAAAGGAAGGAAAAGAAAGTTGCCAGTTACTTCTGTGGTATCTGGTGGTCTCTCAGTTGCCTCTTTAGCTCCAGAAGCAGTCCTGAGGGACGACCCCAGTAGGGTCCTGCTGGGTGGGTGAAGCTGGGGTTTTCTAATTTGATAAATTTAGTGTTCCTTACCTGAAGAAGTGGGGTGCGGGGAGGGAAATCTGCTCTAGGGCCTCTTGAGGGGAAGCTTCTGAAGGCAGCTAGTGCCTCCCTTTCCTCAGCTGATGCCCTGCTCCTGGTCAGTTATCCTCCAGGGAGCCAGGGATCAGACTGCTCAGCCTTGCAGACCCTTCCCCCTCCCCACTTTGCCTGCATCAGGAAGCCTTTCTTGGCTGCCCTCATCTGCCAGGTTGGAGGGATTGCCCATAGGACCCAGACCTATTTATTGGCACAAAAAAACAGGCAATAGACAAAGTCTTGTGAAGTGATGGGCAAGAGTCAGCCAAGCTAGGTTTGAATCTCAGCCCTACCACTTACTAGCTGTGCAGCCTTGGCCAAGTTCCTTACCTATTCTCAGTTTTCATTTCCTCATCTGTAGAATGGAGGTCATAGGACGATAGTGAGTATTAAATGTGGGGAAGCCTACCCAGGGCCTGGGTGCAGGAGCAGCCAGGAGCATTTTGGGCCTTCTCCCCTCCTGCTAACCTGAGTCAGATTCCTAGGAGACAGAAGAGGACAGTAGGTGGAGCAGCTGAAGCCAGGCCTCCCCTACATGCTTACAGGAGGGGAGGAGATAAGGCACACATGCACACCAGGTCAAGAACTGAATCTGAGAAGCAATAGTGATTTAAGATGCTGAGGGAACATTTACAGTCAGTCACCTCCAAAATTTCTTTGCTGAATGGGGACCTGAAGAACAGGGAGATAAAAGACAGAAACAATGTGGGAATGGGAAATCTTGAAGCATGTTTGAGGGAATAGCAAGGAGGCCAGCCTGGTGGGTAGAGGCTGGCATGGAGGTCTGGTCAACATGAAATGAGCAGGTGGTGGGACTTGGGATCTGTAATTGTTCTTTGGTCAAGAAGAAGCTACTTATGGTATTGGGGCAGCAGCAGGAGGGTGAGGAAGGAAGGCCATGATTCTCAGAAGCTAGGAAGAGGAGCCAGATTGCCTGAGAACAAATCCTAGTTCCTTCACTAGGAATTTGGGGCAGACAAGATCTGTCTTGCTTGTTTTCCCATCAATAAAATGGAGATAATTCTAGAACCCAGCTCACGGAATTGTTGGGAAGATAAAATTCAGCTAATTCATGAGAAGCTCCCCGCGGCTGGCTTTCTAGAGAAGACAGAATCCTTCACCCTCAGAAATCCAATGCATTCAATATCGTCCCTTCTCTGGGGCCTGGTGACTTTGACCTCCAGTGTGTCCCTTGATGTCTCATTCAGACAGACCCTGATGAGCTACTGGGACACAAGTACTCAGAGGGGACCCTCATCTAGGAGCTCAGGCTGGAACTCTTGTCCACTCTGCAAGGCAGAAAGAATTGGCCTGAAGTTGGTTGGAGATCTCCAGAGTGGACAAAATCATGGGTGAAATGCTGGAGGTGGAGCCAGCAGGGTCTTGCCCTTCAAACATCATCCCTTCAAAATGTTTCCTTCAGAGGCCACTCTTCTCGGGCTAGATAAAACTTCCGTTTTATCTGAACCCTCTAATGCTTTTCTTCTTCCCCCAACTTTTTTCTGAATGCCTCGGGTGTGTTCTGCTTTTTAACAACGCAATCTAAAAATTTGCACAAATGTTACCTCACTGATTCATCCTCCTAGCTACCTGTTGAGGAGATGGCAGACAAGACCCCATTCTATAGATGAGTAGTGTTCACAGAAGTTGAGAAATCTGTTCAAAATCCCTTCAAATCTGGTTTCTGGCTTCCTGGAGGCAAGGAGTGGATATGGCTAGTCCACACTGGTGGCCTGTCTGACCCTGTCTAACCTGTCAAGGCTTCAGCATCTGTAGGGCTATAGAGCATCCTTGGGCCCAGAGTGGGTTTCAAAGGCCTTTGCCTGCAGGGTAAATATTTGTCCCAGCCAATGGGAAGAAAATTTATTCCAGACTCTGGCCTCATTTCTTTAAACCATTCCCCAGGCACATAGCAGCAGGCAGGAGCCTTTGGCCCTTGCTCCCCTTCTAGCTGGCACCCTCTGGAGTTGGGGCTGGGCTCCTGCTGGCTTTGCTCACCACTGGGTTCCAAGTAATTGGTAGTTAAGAATGACAGCACACTGCAGGAAAGGCTTCCTCTCCTTCAATGCTCTACAACTATCTTAGGAAGAAGCTCTTCTCTGCTCTCCCCTGAGTTCCTATAGTACTCCCAGTGTCCTGGCCACACATAGGTGGCAGAATGGAGTGAAGAGTAATGGACGAGAAGTCATATAGGGTTCAAACTCTGGCTCTGATTATTTCAGTAAAAAATGGCAGAATGGAGCCATCTTGTAGGTTGGTAGTGAGGATGAAGTGAGACTGGGGGGGGAAATGAGCACTAACCATTGTTATGTTAGCACTCACTCAGCTGTATCCTGGGGGCTCCCTGGTGCAGTGGCCAGGTCATTCACACACAGGTGCTTGGGAAAGCTGCCCTGACCTTCTGGAGCAGGCCCAGGTGCAGGGAGGTTGAGGAGAAGGAGTCTGAGGAAGAAGCTGAGCAACTCCAAGTCCCAGGCGTTGAGGGAGGGAGGCCTGCAGAGCATGATGCTTCAGGGTTGAGTTCTGTTCCCAGCATTAGGTAGCATTAGTGGGCCAGACAGCATGGGACTAGAAGGGCTATGGCAGCAGGATTGGAGTGGTTTTAGACATGCCCCTGGGTCTCTGGTAGAGTGTGGTGCAAGGAGAAAAGGCATCTGGGGTGAGAGGGAGTGGAAGATGGAACAGCATGGGCTTTGCAGTTTTAACTCTGTCTCTGAGTTCCAGGACTTCAGCTCAAGTGTGGGCTGGTGAGTGATAGGTAGACCCACAGAGTTTAGAGCTCTGTCCCTTCAATAGAGATCCAGAGTCCTCTTACTCCTGGGGCCCCTGGTAGCCTCCTAACCCCTTATAGGTTTCTCAGGAGTCCAGCACCTCTTCCAGGACCACTCTGATTCTTAAGCCGAGACGAGACTGGTGATCAACACTGCTCTATCTTCTGGTTGTTTCCATGCACCTTCCATGGCATGTGGTGAGTTATCTGAGGTCTCCAGTGTTCAGGCATCCTGTTTCAAGAAGTTTATAACTTTGAGAGAACTGGATGTTGGCAACTGACTCTCCTGCCCCCCACCCAGTGTAAAATTCAATTTTTAAGTTTCAGCTGTAATTGCCTTGAGCCCTTCTTAACAACAACTTGTGACCTGCCAAATGCAGTTCTTGGCTCCTAAGGTACTAATGAAATTCCTTCCCTCACAGAACACAGGCTCACTTAAAAAGCAGAATTTTCTGGTCTTTGTAGGGCAGGCAAAGAGCTCCTGGAGTAGATGGTCCACACTCATAACCCCAGGCTTGCAGAGGACTCCTCTTACCAGTTCATTCCAGGTAGGAAAGATCTACATTCTCCGTGGCCTGGGTTGAAAGAAGCCAGTCTCTAGGCACATGGAAGCCAAAAACCTTATCCAAATGTCAGTGATCCATCACCTCTGGACAATCCAGAATTAAAGAGAAGGGCGGTCTTGTTGAGAACCCACTGATGGAATTCCCAGAAATAGATCCCATGCTGGGTGAAGTGATGGATGGGAAACAGGGTAATTTCTCTCCAGGCTTTCTAGTTATATCAAAGAACAAAATGACCCATTGGAAGAACACAAACTGTATTTCTCTGGAGTCTGACTAGGGCAAATCTGAACAGATCCAATTGTGCAGGCCCATGTCCTTTCAGGGCCCCAGGTTGGCCATCCATGCCAGCAGAGCATTAGACAGCAACCCATGCATAGTGGACTCCATCTCTGCGACCTCTCAGACACAACTGCCTGCTTCTCTTTGGTTCCTTTCCCCAGAAGCCAGTGTGCTATGTTCACAACTAGGAAGGGCAGGTCCCTAGGCTCCTCTCCAGAGAGCAGGCCGAGAACCTCAGCAGGCAGAGCCTGTGTCCCTGGGAGCTGACTCTCTGGTTCTGTTGCTATCCCTTCCTCCCAGGCCCAGGCAATAGAGAAAGCTTTGAGGCCTACACTGAAATGGGATTTGCTTACTTAGTAACACAGAACTCAAGTCTAGCAATCACTTTTCTGGAATATGCCTTAAATAGCATGTCTGCAAAGTCCAGAGTGCTTGCTTGTGGAGAAGATCAGAAATGCTGCCTGGACACAGTGTCCAGTGTTAAGGGTCTTAGAGCTCTAAAATCTGGTCTAAATTTAGTTTGCATGTTTGCACTTTCATCCATGCTCCTCTTAATAACGTGGCAACTATTGCTACCACTGCCAACTGCTGACTCTTCTTGCCTAAGCCAGGTGGTCGCCTCTCTGCTATTGAAGTGTCCACATTAATTAGCTTGTTGGCCAATGTGGTTCCATTGGTTGAGCTTTGTCCTGAGCACCAAAAGGTCGCTGTTCTGATTCCCGGTCAGGGCACATGCCAAGTTGCTGGTTAGGTCCCCAGTCGAGGTGTGTGCAGGAGGTAACCAACTGATGTTTCTCTTTCTCTCCTTCCTTTCTCTCTAAAAAAAAATCAACAAAAACACTTTTTAAAATGACTTAAAAAAATTAGCTAGTCTGCCTTTGTATATCGACTCTGTGTGAGACCATACACCTTAAGGAACAGGCAGAGGCATGTGAATTCTGTAGCAGATGATGATACTCTACAAAGCCCTGACCATGCTCATACTGTTTGTCCAGCTTGGAGATTTCTACTGGGTCATTCAGAGCTAGCTAACCAAGCCTCGAAACACATAGTACAAACCTAGGAAGGCTGTACTGTGACTGGCCACCAGGGAGCAATCTCACGTAGCAAAGCTGCAGCCTTCTGAGCTCTAGGGAAAGTAAAAGGCTTTCACTTTTTCTTCCAGGACTAGTTTTCTCAGATTAGGGAGGAAATGAACAAAAAATATGGTCCAGATTAGCATCGATTATATAATACAAGCGGGCATGCATCCTAGGGGTTAAGACATAACCATGTCCACAACCAAATCCTTCCCAACATGTCAGAATGGGAGAAGCACTGAAAGGATGTGCTACTCTGGTTTTTAGCATATTTTAAAACGAATTTATTTACAGAGTAACAATGATGTCACAGAGAACACAGCCAAGTACCACAGCAAACCAAAGGGCAGCACCACCTGGTCACAGAGGGGAGCTTTCATTGGTAGATTTATACAACTCTAAGTAGAAAGGTGAGGCTTCAGGAAAGAGCAATAGAAACAACATTTTCAAATATAAAGTGTGGGCAGAGCAATGGGGAATGAAAAAGATTGGAATGCAGACTGTCATGATTCAAATCACTGTGAAAGATGACATCTTGCTTCTGCCCTGATTTAGCACACAAATGCCATGCATATCAACAGAAAATCCCAAACCAGTGTGTCCACACACAACACTCTTTAAACTTGGTAAGGGAAGGGATAAATGAGTAGTATCTGGAGTAAGTTTTCTGAAGCAGTGTGGTATATCTTTTAAAAATGCTAACCTAATGCCTAGGGCTCGTTCAGCATTCAAGTTATCATGGGTACAGACACACACACTTTCCACACACTATAAGGGCAAAGTGACTTGTTCATAATACAATAATATTCATAACAAAATATATGACTCTATACTTCTGCTAGATTAAAACATTTCCAATCTTTTTTGATTCCCTGAAAGTTTCTTAAAGAAAACATGGATGTCGAAATGCAGGCCCCTGCAGTCCACCTAGGTGGGGAAAGCTTCTGGCAGTGGTTGATGCAAAAACATACTCTAATCTCAAACAGCGGCAGAGAGGATGTGTTTAGCAGCTGTATAGCACCTTGTACATTCTGGGCACTTAAAATACTAAATGACAGTGATGATGAGTGGTAATCACCTCTGTAGGAAGGTTTATAAAACTACTATATGTTAAGAAATTTCTCAAGTGTTTTTTAAACCAACCTGTTGAAACTACCATATCTCTTTTTAAAAATCCTCAGCTCAGTATCACATGGATATGATGTTTCCAGGCTGAAGTTCATGCAACAAACACAGTCATGACAAGGGGAGAGGGAATAGTTTCTCCTTAAATACTAAGGAACTTCATAGTCTGCCCAAGGCTTTCCTCCTCATCATATCCTCCCTCTTTTTGCCCCCTAATACACAAAATGGATTTGTAAAAAACAAAGATTCTTTTTTGAGGATGGATTGCTTTACTAGCCAAATACCTTGAATGTATGTGAATTCTTCCATGGCATGTCGTAACTCAACCTCATCACTTTAGAAGCATCAGGACAAAAAGGCCTATTTTCTTTGGTACAATTTCTATCTAGGCTCTTGCACTGCAGCTCTTCTGTTTCTTGTATGGCACATTTATGGAATCCCCATTTTTGGCGCTGCCATAAACATGGACAGCTGAACTTCTGTGCAGACTTCAGGAGGAGCAGCACTTGAATTTGTCTTGGAACAGCACTATTGGCCTTTGAGAATATGAGCTTCAAGGAGGTAAATCTAATAACCCAGTTTTGTAGGAAGCCATCCTGTTCACTCATTAGGCTGGACCAGAATTTTCAATCCTTATCAACTAGTGAGGGGAATATAAACATGTCAGACTTGGCCTAGGGAGTCAAGTTCCTCTCTTCCCTCTCCAAGTATATTCATACTTTATTTATACATCTAGAATCACTTGGAATGTAGTATAGTATCATAAGTCCATCCCCATTTCTAGGACTAACCTGTATTTTTTTTTTTCAGATCATTGCTGGTAAAATCTAGGGGGAAATCCTAGTTGCAGGTTACTTCCCAGCACCAAAGTATTCTTAATACCAATTTGGGAAGATGAGTGCAACCCTTCTATACCCTACTACTTAGTAGGCCTCAAAGATCTTTGATGGGAATCCTATAACACTAAAAACTTTGAAATACAATTTTAGGTAGCTTTACTCCCAGATATTTCATGAATATTTCTAGAGGTTTAAATCTCAAACTTATTCTGAGTTTGGAAACAAAACTGATCTCCACTTAAATCTGACAATGAAAAGCTACTCAGACTCTTAAAATCCTAACAAATCTATTTTACTTTTAGATCCCTAACATCAGTAGTGTGGGAGTTTGTGCCCCCCTCTATACCTCACTCAGTTCATCTTCAGAGGGCAAAACTTGAAACCCAAGGCCATGCACCTGTTTTCCAATTCTAACTTAGCTAGGGGTTGGTGGACCTATTCATGATGCTTTTCTTTTTTTTTAAAATTCTCACCCAAGGATATTTTTTTCCATTGATTTCTAGAGAGAGTGGAAGGGAAGGAGGGGGAGAGAGAGACATCGACTGGCTGCCTCCTGCACACACCCCTACTGGGGCTGGGTACATGTCCTTGACCGGGAATCGAACCCGTGACCCTTTGGCTGATGTTGTAACCACTGAACAAAACAGCCAGGGCTCATGATTCTTTTATTGTCAATTCCACAGATTACAATTGCTCTTTTTCCATCCTGCTGTTACTCTTCATGAACTCGTGCCTGGGCATTGCATTACTGTGCATATACCAAAGGGGCTCTTCTCAATACTAGCATGGGAGATCACTCGTAGTCCTAGTCCTCTTTGTGGAACATCTGATTCTCTTCCTTCCTAGACTAGGTTATCACTTGGCTGAGGCACTCTGTTATACATTCAGTTTTGGTCTTGGCTACTCCAGCCATTGTCCTGTTTCTCTAGCACCCAAATGTGTCAGAGAGATTGTTCTTGCTCATGTGGCTTAAGGAAAAGTTTCAATAGCAGCTTAATTGTTTAAACTCTCAAAATAAATGGAAGAAACTATAGTACAGACTTCAATAGAAAAGAAAGAAAATTTCCAATCACTATTAAAGACTTGAAGTACTTGAAAAAACTTAAAGTGCTATACTAGTTACAGTCCAAAACTCATACTAGTGTGTGTGTGTGTGTGCGTGTGTGTATACATGCTGTCTGTCTGTATCTGAGGATAGGGTTTCTTTTGGGTTCATGAATTCAAAGTTCCTATTACAATTAAAATAGAAATGCAAAAACAACATATATTTGAGATATTAGATTAACTGAATTACATTATTTTGGAAAAATATTCTGGGGATCAATGTTGAGTACTTCTTGCCCAGACATAAGTTACTTAGTCTATTTGGCTCTAACCTGTAACACCACCTTTCCTTTTCTCCCTCACATTCTTCTGCCATCACTCAGAGAAAAATTAATGTAGCCCCTTGTCTCTGAGAAGCCTGAGGCCCTTCTATGGTAGTTGGCATTTATCTTTTATACTTAACAAATTTGAATATAAAAACAGTACTAAATATCTGATATAAAGGGGTGCTTGGTTTACCAGTGTTATATTATAATGGTAGAGGGTGTCCATGCTTATTGTACTATAGAGTTAAAATGAGGAAGACTGGATCCAAGTCAAAACAGAAAGAAAAAGAAAAGAAAAGAAAGAGAGAACAAATAGAGGGATTAGGAGCCTTTCATCATTAAATATGAAACCTCATTAAATAGTCAACATTCAAATTTACATGGGCAAGGCACAACAGTGACACTGAGAAAGTGTCTCAATATGCAAATCATCAGGGAATGGGGTTGCGGGGAGGGAGGCTGGGAAGGGAATGTGCTGGTTGACATGGTCAGTGGTCAGCATGCTGCTCCTTCAGTGTATAATTAGGCAAGGAGTTATGTGCACATGGGCTATGCTAAAGTGAACCAAACCCCAGTCTGTTAAGCAAAGCACAGCCATGCCACAGGACACTGAGAGAGAGTGGACTGCTGGCCTGCAGTGGCATGCCCACTCTGTGGCCACTTTTAGGGGCAGAGCTCTGCACTCTGACTAGAGGAGGCAATACTCATTGTGGGCCACCCAGCTCTCTCCTTTGGGAGTCCTGTACTGCTGGCAGGAGGACAGGGACAACCGCTAAATAGAGCCTCATGTCCCATTCTCTTAGAAGAAAGAAGAAAGAAGAAGAAAGAAGAAAGAAGAAGAAAGAAGAAAGAAGAAGAAAGAAGAAAGAAGAAGAAAGAAGAAAGAAGAAGAAAGAAGAAAGAAGAAGAAAGAAGAAAGAAGAAGAAAGAAGAAAGAAGAAGAAAGAAGAAAGAAGAAGAAAGAAGAAAGAAGAAGAAAGAAGAAAGAAGAAGAAAGAAGAAAGAAGAAGAAAGAAGAAAGAAGAAGAAAGAAGAAGAAAGAAGAAGAAAGAAGAAGAAGAAGAAGAAGAAGAAGAAGAAGAAGAAGAAGAAGAAGAAGAAGAAGAAGAAGAAGAAGAAGAAGAAGAAGAAGAAGAAGAAGAAGAAGAAGAAGAAGAAGAAGAAGAAGAAGAAGAAGAAGGAGGAGAAGAAGGAGAAGAAGAAGAAGAGGAAGAAGAAAATACAATCTTTTCTGTTCTTGATACTCTTTGATATAGGTGAATCACATGAAAGGCTGCTAAAAATGTTAAAAACAGAAATTTCAAAAGGCCACTAATGTGCTATCTAAGTAATACTGCACAGCCAGTCCTGACTTTAAGAAACCCTACACTAGTAGCTGAGGGTCCCAAAAGCTCCCTCACTGACTAGGTGCAGAGAACGTGTCTATCAAGTCTGCCACAGGTTGTTCTCCCAGAAGCCTGGCCCCTCTCTACTTCTATCATGCATGTGCACACACATAGGCACACATGTATATGGACACTCACATTGTCCGAGTGACTTCTGGGATTGCAAGACTGAAATAAACAGATACTTATAGTTTTGAATAAAACAAGCATAAACACACTCACACCCTCCCATGGAAGGTGTCTCTTAGCGCAAATATGTGTCAAGGGAAGAAGGGAAAGATTTCTATAGATTTTGCTTCACGTAAAGTTGCAACATAAACACTGTAATACACAGCTAAAAAAATACATAGAAAAATTGCACATTTATCCATAGGAAAGGAGCACAGACCTCACATACGGTAAACAGCTTTCAGCCACCCACCTCAGCAATCAAAATTCCCTGTCATCTGTGCTCCAGAGCCATTTCAGAATCATAAGGAGCAATGTGCCAGGGCAACTGGGAGGCAGTCTCTCCAGAAAAGGTCTGTATCCTGAGGAGGTGGTCAGCAGCAATCTTGTCCATGGCCTTCTTCCCTTCTCCTGCCTCTGGCAATTATAATAGCCATCTGTGCCATGCCCTTTAAGGAAATCTTGTAGGTGGACTAACAGCTGTTTTATTCAGGGCAGTTGTCTATAGCATTTGGTAGACTAGTTAATACTGGCTACTGATAGTAGGAAGCTGGCCAATTAATGCTTGACAGAAAAAGCTATAATCTGGGCACCACTAGCCCTGGCTGCCAACTTTGACAGTAATCAAAGAACAGTACTTTAAACTCTGTTCCCCAACGGTCCCTAGAGAACTGCACATGCAGAAAAATCATCTCCTTCTGTATTGCCAGCTCTTTATAAGATATAAACTGCACTCCACTCTGATGAGGAATGGGTGACACCACTGTGGGTCAGCTCTGTAACAAGCCACAGGTGGCCAATAAACCCAAACTTCATTGGCAAATGGGGACAGAGTAGAGGTGAAGGAGAATCAGGCAGTAGCAGCAGAGGGGAAATTGTTAGGGCCATCCTTCATGCAGTACACCTTCTTATTGATAATAGAAATGAAAATTGGTCCATGATCCAAGGGATGGATTCTCTCCTTGTCCTTCTACTATCCACTGGAACGAAGAATATAGTCCCAGGAGCCAAAATTGGGTGGACACTAAGCATGGTAGTTCTGCCTGGTAACAGAGGAAAAAAGTCTGCTGTGAGAGCTTAGTGGATGATGGTAAGAATTGGTCAAATCTATTGACTACTAGAGAGAATAAATACTTGATGTTAAAAAGACAGGTAAAATTCAGAATTATGGAGCAAATGGACATAACTCACTGAGTTCATACCAAAGGAGCTATCCCTTAAAAATGTTCATTTTCATTTTTTACCTGTATTTGTGGGACAATAGAGTGAAAAGTGTTCTAAAGGAAAGTAAACTGAATGTGCAGTTGAATTTCTGTGAAGTTAAGACAGACTCAGCTTATCACTTGATTTGAAGCTGTGATAACCTTCTGAGTAAATGCATTTGTTTGTGAACAGGAATGAACAGTTTGTCTCTCTTCTTTCCTTGAATTCCGTGTGAGTACTAGGATGTGCAAGTGTGTGGGTGACTTGAAGAAGGAGAAGATAAAGTAAAAGCAACAACCAGGATACATTAACGGTGTTGCAGGATTTTCACAATACAACTGAGGGAGTCAGGAGTAGCAAAAGCCAAATATTGAGCACATAACCAGTCCTCAAGGCTGATCCCACCCACCCTATCCAGGGACTTTTCAGCAAACTTGATCATCAGCAATGTTCGCTTGATGTCCAGCCAGTTTTGGAGCAGGGCTTTCCTCTGCACTGGGCTGGAGGCAGTGGAGAAAGTCTGGAAGAGATCTTCCCTGGGGCCCCAGAGCAGACATTGGAGGACACCTTTGGCATCTGAAATGAGGATACGCTCAGAAGGGTTGGGGTTCAGGAGGCAGCTGGCCAGCTGCTGAAGGCCCCATGAATAAGGGGAGCGGAGTGGGATTTGAGGCAGGTCTGCTCGAGTGTACTCCTTCTCCTTCAGTTCTGGGTTCTCATCAAAGGGGTTGGGCAGGTGTAGCATCTCATAGATGAGGATCCCTGTCTGGAACTCATCACACTTTTTGTACTGGGTGGCTGTTATGATCTCTGGGGCAAGGCGAGACTGGTCTCTGAGGATCTCAGGATCCACCAGGTGGCTCTTCTGCTTGGCCTGAGAGAAGTTGCTTACTATAAGCCTCGTGAGACAAGATGAGGTGGGATTGAGTTCTTTAGGCCCAAGGCCTTGGGTGGTTCCCCCGAGCTGGTAGTGGACAAGCAGCAGGTTCTCCAGACGTAGATCGCAATGAGTGACGTGGTAGGGTTTGAGGTGTTCAAGGCCGGAGCACAGCTGTAAGAGCAGCAGACACACTTGCCTCTCATACAAATCAGGGCTTTTCCCATGGTGGATTAGAGAGTCCTGCACAAAATCAGCCACGGTGAGATAGGGAACCTCTCTGGTGATGACTACAACGTGACTTCTCTGCTTTTTGCTAATGACTCCCTGGCTTTCTTTCTGGGATGACTCTGTTTCAAAGCACGACTCTGGGCTTTTCCCATCAATTTCTCCTTTCATATCTTCTTCATTCTCTTGTATTTCATTCTCTTCCTCTTCAGGGGCATCAGGATCTTCCCAGGGAAGCAGACGCTTAGGGACTTCAGCAAGGAAATGACCACAGTCCTGCTGGATGTTAAAATGGACAGCCAGACTCTGCCGAACAGCCAAGCTGTGATAATACTGCTGAGATTCTTTAGCTTTGCTCTTACAGATCTGAAAGAAGAAAGCAAATAATACAATTTAAAATACACACACTTTCATAACCAGGCTTTTGATGTGTAAAGGAGGATTAATGGGAAGGTGACTGGTTAGGAATAAAGTGTTACAGTGAAGTCTTCAGAAAGGGTAGTCCTGTGCTGAATAACAGTAATAACTACTGTCTACATGCTTAGCACTTTATGTGTATTATCTATAGTCCTCACACTAACCCTTCAAAGTAGGCTGAGTATCTAAGAATTTAAAAAAAAAAAAGTGCAAGGGCAGCTCAGTGCTATCAGTTTGCACCTTCTTCCCTTAGCCAGTATTTTCTCTACCAAGTATGAAGGTAACTTCTTAGACTCCCATTTTCATTTACCATTAGTCAGGGGAGTGTCATGTGATGGTTACCACTCAGGAACTCACGATCACTGGCAAGTTAGAAATAAAGATTTGAGAGAATCAATGGCCTGACCTAGTCAGAACAAAACCAACATTTCAATGGCAGGATTTTGAGTTTCATGTTTTCTCTTAACATACCTTATTTAAGGCATAATATTCAGGCAATAAGTCCTTTCAAAAGGAATTTTATTAAGTGGTTATGAATTAAGGAAGAGTTTTTGTTCAAAAACATTAGCCTAAAGTCCTACATACTAAATCAACTATTGCATGTCTAGTCTTAAAGGGTTAAGAAAGCAAAAAATACACCCCCCCCCCTAAATTGATTATCCTCATGATATGGGGTGGAGAAGCTGACAATGGAAAACTCAGTCTGCAACACTAGGTTCATAGATTACTGCAACCTGGTCAGGACAGCTCCTTTGCAACCTGTTAACTGAGGAACACATTTTCTGCTCTTTCTCCTCAAGAGGAGCACTGCCATATTTCACAGATATCAAAGTCCCCAACAATAGGCACTTTGCAGTGTTTACACTGACTGTTTATTGTACTACTTCAGAAAAAAAAGCAAAATTAAAAATAAAGATTTTCTAGTCATTTTTATTTAAAAAGAAAAATGTACATATTCTTAGGAGGGTCCCCAGTTCTGAGAAGGAGCATACTCTGATTTCTATTCAAACACATATTTTTTAAAAAGGCCAAAAGCAAAGGAATATCAGGGGGTGAAGAGCATCCCTCTTTAACTTACTGTATTTATACACATTGATTATAGTTAGAGGCTTGAGCTTGCCATATAAATCTCTCTTTCTCTCTCTCTCTCTTTGAAAACAAGTTTCTTCAAGTCTTCCACCATCTGCCTATCAGTTTGAGGGTATAATAAGCATTTCCTCTTTAAACAAACTTCTGGTCTTGAAACAGAGTTATCCCCAGGCTGAATTCAAGTTCAAACATAAATCTTGCAGAAAATATTATTTTAGTAAGCTCTCAATGTCTCAGCACATGCAATATAACATATACTCTTATATGCTCATTGATCACAACATGAATTCTTTCTACATTATACTGACAAGATTTCATGTTTATGTGTCACCAGGTATTTAAAAATCCTATACTAGTCATCATTTAGTTGTGTAGAGTTGGATCCAGGACACAGCACCATTAACTCCATTTCCAGTTGTAATAATTTGCTCAATATCACATTACCTGCTCTCATCAGTCTTTGAAAAGTCAATCAAATAATACTGAGTTTGGCTGCCTGAGACTGAGTAGTCAAACTCTAGCTGTCACATTATAGAAAGGACACTCACCAAGGATTTAGGAGGCCTGGGATTTAGCCCCACCACTAGCTGTGTAATCTTGGGCATTTCACTTAATTTCTCTAGGTCCTAGTCTCCCAAATAAAGGAGACAAAATTAAGAATACTGAAACCTACTTTATAGGATAGTGGCCAAGAAGAAATGAAGTCAAGTATGTATACTATATCTATAAATCTCAAAGTTGCACAAATGTAACATTGATAATGACAAAAACAATTAACAGCTTGCAAACAAAGCGTGCAAGACAGAAAAATGAATACTTCTTTTGAGTTCTGAAAGTGACTTGTCCTAGCAGTGAGGCTCTCTGACCATTGGTTTGGTAGAGGGCAACTAAAGTTCAACACCTCCATGCTAGGGTCAGCCCTGACAAACAAGTTAAGACCAGTAGTATGTTCTGATCCAAGACAGGCCAACCTAAGGCAGAGAAAGAATTATTTGGCCAATCTGTAGTTTTCACTATGTCAAGTTGCACTAAACACACACACACACACACACACACACACACACACACACACACCTTGCTACCTTCTGGTTTGGCATTAGAAACAAAGAAGATATTTTAATTGTGATTACTATTCTAAGTGTATCTACACACAAAAAATTTTTTTTGTAAGATGCCCCAGAGCTTTGTGAGTAAATAAGAACATGGATACTACAACAAGAATTTTTGTTTAGCTTCACAGATTAACTTGAGATAAAGGTTCAAAGTGATTTATGAAAAAGAAATGATAAACTGCCCAGCCATTTTGGGTGCTCGGAAGGAAAATGGTCTGTCTAATGGCCAAACTGAGGAGATGACACTTCTTCATCTTACAATATGTAAAAAGACTGCAGAATAATAGGTCACTCTAGTTTTAAGGGAAAAGGAAAAAGGGAGAAGACTGGGAGTATGAAAGAGGGAAGCAAAATACTAGGGCTTTTAAGTGGCACATAACTATGAAAACAGTTACAAGCAAAACATAGACTTACAGAGATTTCCATAATAGAATTTGTCATATGATGTGGATCTCACAAATCTTTATTATAGAGTCTCTGCAATGCTGTTAAGAGTATTATACTGTTCTATGAACCACATGGTAGCCATTTTTCAAATATTAATAACTTGACTTTTCATTTTTAAAAAAACTCAAAATAACCTGACTTCAAATTTCTAGTTCCAAAAGTTATTTCAGAAATCAAGCCACTCTTTCCAGAACAAATGAACACGACTTCTATTTTTCTTTCTTCTCTTACCCAGCATTTTCTCTACCAAGTATCAGTAACTTCTTATCCTCTAATTTTCATTTATCTTTCTTAAAAGGAATTCACAGTCCTTCCTTACAAAGAGTAACTTCCTTAAACTGGAGATATCTCAAGAAAGATTCCACTCCTCAGGAAGAATGATTTCCACAGAACTCCTAGGCTCCCCCAAATTTTGAAATAGGAACAAAACTGGAACTGGAATGGTCTCATATCTTCATGTAGGATTCCCCTTTTTAAAAGGGATAAAAATCGCCTGGCCAGCATGGTTCAGTGGTTGAGCATCAACCTATGGACCAGGAGATCACAGTTCGATTCCCAGTCAGGGCATATGCCTGGGTTGTGGGCTCAATCCCCAGTGTGGGGTGTGCAGGAGGCAGCCAATCAATGATTTTCTCTCATCATTGAAGTTTCTATTTCTTTCTCCTCCCTTCCTCTCTGAAATCAATAAAATTATATATTTTTAAAAAAGGGATAAAATTATCTCATTTTTGTTTTGACTATGTATGGGAAAACTTATTTAAAAGGATATCAATTTTGTCAGGTTCTGTACTGTCTACATTTTATGAAAGGGGAAAACAAACAACAAACAAACAAAACCCTACTACAGCCTGAGCCACAGCAATACTAGAAGGAAATGCAATATCGAGACCAGGAGTTATTTACATGTAAACTGGCAGCGGGAGAACAAAACCAGGCTGGTGAAAGTTGAATCTTGTAAAATATGTCATAGGTCCACTTTCTGGAATAGTTTTGGGTTCTAAGAAGGTGGCAATGCCAAATTCATGCAAAAGGAACACTTGGTGTGAAGAACACAGAGAGAAGAGGTGCCCATCCTCGATACATGATCCTTGCCCACTTGCCTACTCACAGGGCACACCTTCCTACATTATTTCTCCAAAGGGTGCCCAAAGAACATCAAAGGGATAGCCATCCAGCTGGTCATTACACACCTACCAAAGTGAATAACACACTGTCACAAAAACAGAGGCTTGAGGGGAAATTGAGTGCTTGTCTGAGTTAATGAAGATGGGTGAGGGCATAGAAGGGGAAGGAGAAATACTGATTAATATCAACTGATCATTCAAACAAGTATCTGACGGTGCCTCAGAACTTCCAATCTGTAGGCCAAATACAGTAGGGTAAGGATTCCTCAACCACTGATAAGTCATCTGTTGGAAAATGGCAAAAAACAAAACAAACCATGCTTCCAGAATCAGAGCCAAATTGCCCTCCACTGAGACCTTCTCAGATGCAGGTCAAAGCACATAACACTTACACAAGCCCAATCTTAGTGGGAAAACAGAGCTTAACAATGATTCCTCACACACAACCCCAAAAGTTTAATTTAATACGTTCACTTCAGGACAGGGGCTCATTTTCTGTGTTGTTCATGGCAACTGATCTATATACCTTTCAGGATAATTTGTTATTAGAAAACATATAGGTTTGTAATAATAATCTCAATTTAGCTAATTTACACAGCTTTGATTATAAGGCCCCATTAAAGAAGCTGAAAGGAGAAGAGTTGTATATCGAACTAGAGGCCCAGTGCACGAAATTTATGCACTGGGTGGGGGGAGGGGTTTATCCCGCAGCGAAGCCTGCACCCTCTCCAATCAGGGACCCCTTGGGGGATGTCCAACTGCCGGTTTAGGCCCGACCCCTGTCAGACATCCCTCTCACAACCCAAGACTGCTGGCTCCCAACCACTCACCGGCCTGTCTGCCTGATTGCCCCTAACTGCTTCTGCCTGCCAGCCTGATCACCCCCTAAACGCTACCCTGCCAGCCTGATCGACGTCTAACTGTTCCTCTGCCAGCCCGATTGACCCCAACTGCCCTCCCCTGTCGGCCATCTTGTGATGACATGGGGGGTGGCCATCTTGTGACCACATGGGGGCAGCCATCTTGTGCGAGGGCATGATGGTCAATTTGCATATCACCTCTTTATCATATAGGATACCACTGACCCTTTCAGAGTGCTCAGCCTAGGACCTGAAAAGAAGAAGTATATTTTATTACTCTTTCAATACTGAGAAGTGGAATAGATAACCAGTTTAAG